GCAGTCTGCTTCTGCAAAGATATATAGCCTTGGAAACCCAATGAAGGTCACCTTGAGTCAGAATCCACTCGATGGCAGTGAGTTTTGGTTTGGTTTTTATTAATGGACTGGAAAATCAATCAAAATCAAAACCACTACCACCACCACCACCACCACTTAAAGTTTTAGAGTTTTCATCTTGCTTGTCTCCTTCCTCACATCATGTTTGGATTTTTGAATTATCCTATTTGTGTCTCTGGGTCTTTCAGTCCTTAATTTTGTGAAATTCTTAATAATTTCTATAAGTATTTGTTCAATGTTCTTTTTTTCCTTTCTTTGTGGAAATTCTATTAGATAAATATTGGCACTTCATATATTTCCTCCATGTCTTTGAACTTTTCAAAAATGTTTAAATTTCCCATTTATTTATTTATTCCTTGTGGCATAGTGCCTAAGGCATTTGACTACTAACCAAAAGACTGGTGGTTCAAACCCATCAGCCACTCCGTGGAAAGAAGACTGGGCAATCTACTTCCATAAAGATTTACCACCTTGGAAACCCAAAGGGGATTGCTGTGAGTCTGAATCCACTCAATGGCAGTGAGTTTGATTTTGGTTTGGAAACTTACTGCTTGCTAATGGAGTCTTCCTCTCTGTTCCATTTGCTAGTTAACCCATCCTTTAAACTTTTCAGTATTTTATATAGGTGTGTGTATCTACTTCTGTACAGATAGCCCTTGGAAACCCAAGGATAGGTCGCTGTGAGTCGGAAACAACTTGATGGCAGTGACTTTGGTTTCTTTTGTTAAGTATACTCATTACCTTTGATTGGTGGATACTTATTAGGTTTGTTTTAAATTTGTGTTCCCTCTGGTCTGTTACTTATGCTTCCTATGGTAGAAATTGTTCAGTTTGTTGCCTTTCTTTCATAGTGCTTGTATTCTACATGTGTCTTGTTATTTTTCTCCTGGGAGAACAAAGTTACCAAACTCAAAACAAACCCACTGTCATCAAGTCGATTCCAAATCATAGTGACCCTGTAAGACAGATGAAATTGGCCCATAGGGTTTCCAAGGCTAAATCTTTAGGGAAACAGACTGCCTCATCTTTCTCCTATGAAGAACCTGTGGTTTGAACTGCCCACCTTTCAGTTTGCAGCTAAGCACTTAACCATTGTGCCACCATGGCTCCTACAAAGCCATAAGCTAGTTATATTTACCTAGGGAAAGAGCAAAAGATTAGCTTCTAATTTGTATTTCATTATATGATGTCAGAGAGTAGAGATGGGGGTAGAAGGCCTTGATCTGGAGTGATATAATTTGAGGTTTGATTCCAAAAAGGAACTTCCTGTTCCTCTGCCCAGAGGCATAGTCTTCTTCAGGTCATTCAGCTTTATTTGTGGAGTGTGAATGAGGACAACACATAGGGGCCTTCCTGGTCACCTGTACTTGTTACCACTTCCCAAACCATCTGAGCTCTAGTGCTTTCCTGATGCTGTTAGTCTCCCTCACCTTTCACATGGCACTCCGTTGATACCAAAGCTTTCCTGTCTCATTGCATTATTTGGGCCATGGCAAAGTGAGTAAGGGAAAGGGGCACAAGTAGAAAAATCTTTCCCAGTGTGTAACACTTGGTCCCTTCCATCTCTTTGCTGCTGTTTCCCTCCTACTCTTAGAAGCTAGTCACTTCTGGCGTTTTCTAGGTTTCTCCCTTTTGCTACTGTGTAATGTCCAGGATTGAACTAAAAGGAGGAAGCCAGGAGTGCATACTAGTTTGACATCTTGGGCAGAAACGGAGGCCACAGTATTTTATTACTATCTATGTGTGTCTGTAGGAGCTCTGGTAGCGTAATGCCTAAGGCACTTGACTGCTAACCAGAAGGCTGGCGGTTCAAACCCACCAGCCACTCCTCGGAAGGAAGATGGGGCAATCTACTTCCGTAGTGATACTGCCTCAGAAACCCAAGGAGGGGTCGCTATGAGTCAGGTCTGACTCAACGGCATATAACAACAACAACGTGTGTCTGTTAGTTGCTGTCCAGTTGATTCTGACTCATGGCAACCCCATGTGGACTGAGTGGAAGTGCTCCATAGCGTTTTTAAGGCTGTGATCTTTTGGAAGCAGATCACCAGGTCTGTCTTCTGAGATACATTTGGAGGGTTTAAGATACATTTGGGCTGGTAGTTGAGCACTTAACCATTTGTACCTCTCAGCAACTTCTTTAATTGTGTCTGTACCCCTCATCAAACTAAGCTCCTCAAAGGTAAGAATTAGTTCTTATATAATTCTTGATACAGACTTGGTGGCTCATAAAGAGATTCTTATATTTAAAAAAAAAAAATGGATTTACTACCAATACTGAGCTCCCTGAATGATGTAAAACAATACTGAATTTATTTTTAAATCTTTTTGTATGGAAGATTTCAGGATCATTTACATCACTTTACTCAGAAAACAAACTCACTGCTGTCGAGATGTTTCCAACTCATAGCAACCCCTACTTGGGTTTCTGAGGCGGTATCTCTACAGAAGTCGATTACCCAATCTTGCTTCTGAGAAGTGGCTGGTGGGTTTGAACTGCTGCCAGCTGTCCGGTTAGCAGTCAAATGCCTTAGACACTACTCTAAAACAAGTAACAGTATGGTGTTTTATAATTCTCAAAATATTTAACCTGTGTAAGATAAGCAGGGTTGTTATTGTTGTACCCAAGTGAAGAAGCTGTGAATTAAAGATGACAAAAATTTATTTAAGATCAAGCAGCTAATAAGTAGGAGCTCTGGTAGCTTAGTGTCTAAGGCACTTGACTGCTAACCAGAAGGCTGGCGCTTCAAACTCAACAGCCACTCCTCGGAAGGTTGGGCAATTTACTTCCCTAGTGATACTGCCTTGGAAACCCAAGGACGGGTCGCTGTGAGTCAGGTCGGACTCAATGGCACTTAACAACAAAAACAACAGCTAAGAAGTGATAAAGCTAGGCCTGGAAATGGTCTTCTGACTTCAATTATTTAGGGATTGAGGCTTATTCTTCTTTGTTTCTAGTACCTCCCTATCTTTGTGTATATTTGATCAATCTAATGAACTGACTTGTGCCATTCTCCCTCTCATCTTTTTAAAGTCATCTTTTTAAGATGAGTTACTTGATTGTTATTAATTTGGAAGTTCAATATTTAAAATCCTCTTAACCAGATTTGTTGTGAAAATGAGACTCCAGTGACTTAATGTTTGTATTCAAATCTGGGAAGTCCCTACATGATCTGACTCTTTTGCATACTCTCTTTTCATCTTCTCTCCCCCTTGTTTACAACTTTGCTCACATTTCTCCGGACACAGTAGGTTTCTTACTATTCTGCCAACATTACCAGGCATGCTCCAACCTCACGTCTGTTCACTGTGCTTGGAATGCCTTTCCACATATGGCTTCTTCTTCTCCTTCAAATCTTTGTGCAAAGGTAACCTCTGTGAGACCTTCCTTCACTATCCTATTTAAAATTGCAAACTGTCCCGTATTATACACACTCCAGTGCTCCTTCCTTATACTGTTTTTCCCTAGCATTTAACACATAACCCTACCAATACACTGTATGATTTACTATTCACTGAATTATAGTTGGCCTTTCCTCATTATGATGTTAGTTCCAGTGCCTGACAAGTACAAAACTCAATAAATGTTTGTTGAAAGAGGGAAGGAAGGAAGGGAGGGAGGGAGGAAGGAAGGAAGGAAGGAAGGAAGGAAAGAAATTCAATTGATTTTTAAAAAAAAAGTTGTTAGTAATACTTGATTGTTATTAATTAGGAAGTTCAGAGTATATACATTCATGAATAAAATGGAAATTTACTTTAATTCAGTAGGATTTATCGATTAAAGGCTTCTTCAGAGTTGTTAAACATATCAATTTATATAAAATTAACTGACTGTCTTAGGAAAATATTGTGCTGTATGTAAGACAGATGATATTATTTGAAAAATGAAAAACAAAATCACTGCCATCAAGTCAGATCCAACTCGTAGCAACCTTTCCTTGGGTTTCCAAGGCAGTATCACTACAGAAGTAGATAGCCCAATCTTCCTTCTGAAGAGTGGCTGGTGGGTTTGAACCACCAGCCTTCTGGTTAGCAGTCACATGCCTTAGACCCTACACCACCAGAGCTCCCAGATAATATTATAGAGTTCCTGTATATGTTTTAATAAAAAGAGCAAGTTAAGTGTTGATTCTTGAGTTGTACTTAATTTTAGTTTTCTGTAGATTATTTTTCTTATGAAACTATCATTTTAACATTGAAAGTTTGAGGTGTAAGAAGTGATTGATAGTAATTGAAATTTTAATAAAATTTTAGATGATTAAATGTGTTTGACTTTCACATTGTAGAGCTATATTAGTTCTAATCCTTTTTATGATTTGTTTTAATTCTATATTCGATTTTGTTCAAATAATAAAGCAGGAATTTTCATGATTAGGCTTTACTTTTATTTAAACATTTCTTTTTTTCTCTTATAGATTTGCTTTGAGGTCACATTGATATGAAATATGGAGTCACCTTTGATAACTTCACCTGGGAAAGAAAGTCTTCTTTCTTAAAAAAAAACAAAAAACATACAATTAAATGACCAGAGGATTCATGCAAAATGCCAGCTCTACATCTTTGATATCATCTATATTTTAATCTGTCAAGACAAATGCCTTTAAGGAAGGTGATTTGTTCATCGCCATTATTCTTAACATTTTAAAAAATCATCCATCTTACAGTCAACAACTCTCCTATAAAATTTAACATCATATAAAAATTTTTAAGGGATTGTTTTAAGTTACTGGGTTTTTTTGGTTTTTTGGGTTTTTGGTTTATTTTCACTTGACAAAGTCCTCGTAAAAATTTGTAACATCAGAAAAGATATGGACTTGGAAACTCATGTAATAGACTGCACTGAATTTAAGTGGATAATTCAAGACATCATCCATCTTATCATCAGAAATATCACATAAATATATAATTCTAAGCTTTAATGAAAACATATTTGCTTGAAAATGGCATGGGTAAAATTCTTACGGAAACCTGGTGGCAATCTTGGAAAAGTTTATCAACCTGGAAGTATGCTGTCGCTAGCCCCTACCAAAGGATTATTAAATGAACCAGGACAAAACAGCTGTTTTCTTAATAGTGCTGTGCAGGTAAGACCAGAATTGTTAATTTTTTAAGTTTTTTAAATACCACTTTTAATGGTAGCCAAAATATTTTGTCTGGGTGTTTTCATTTCTGTAGTAAATGGAAATGGTCTTTTCAACAGAAAGATGTATTTCTGTGATAATGAAAATGGTTTTGATTTAAGATGTTTACTTAGTAAATTAAGAATACATATTTTAAATACCTGCTAAAACGGCAAGGAGGCCACATGTTCCGACCTCCTTTACCCCTACAAGAGGAAGACAGGATTACCAGTAGTAACCCAAGGCCTATTCCTACAAGGCCAGACATGCTGCCTCCCTCCAGCCCTTTCACCAACTGTTCCTCCCAAATCACCCACCACCTCTCTCCTGGGTTCGATAATTCGCTGCAGTGGCCACACAGAACTCACAGATTATGAGGTTTATTAGGGATGTACCAGACTACAATTCAAGTTCAGGAAGAACGCTCAGTCTCTCTCCCGGCCCACCGTCCCTCAGCCAACAGTCTCTCACAGTCTCTCTCCCAGCAGTGCATGTCCCTCAGTGTCTTACTCAGCAACCTGTGTCTCTTTCCAGGGCACATGTCTCTTTCAGCAGCACATCTTCCTCAACCAGCATCAGAGAGAGAGTTCTGCCTCTAGGAAGCCTCCTTTTGAGCTAGGCAGGGTGGTCAAATTAGCCAATCACAGCATCAGAACTCTAAGCACGTGAGAGAGAGTAGGAACCTCCCAGAACATTGTATTGTGCCACGCCCAACAGAAATAATCCAGGTGGATAGCTTTAGCAATCAGGAGCTCCTCAGTTGCTCATAGAAAATTCCACCTTGGAGTTTACAAAGACTTATGGATAGAAAAGCCACACTAAGTAATTTACTACACTGCAATACCTAAATTAAAAGAAATGTTAGATTATTTTATACTAAGACAGTTATTGTTCAATTTGTTAGAATTTTTATTTAATTTTGAAGGCTTATGAGTAATGAAGATGCTCTGGTGCCATAATGCCTAAGACATTTGACTGCTAAGCAGAAAGCTGGCGGTTCAAATCCATCAGCCACTCCTCAGAAGGAAGATTGGGCAATCTACTTCTGTAGTGATACTGCCTCAGGAACCCAAGGAGGGGTCGCTATGAGTCAGATCAGACTCCACGGCCTTGAGTTTGGTTTTTGGTTTTTATGAGTAATGAAAAGAACTACAATCCAGAAAATGTAATCTATAATGTTAAAATGTGCATATATTATGAAATACTCTAAATATTTTATACTCTTCACTCTTTTAATACCCCTTTATCAGGATCTATTAATTTATTATTTATCTTTTACATTGGTTTGTGATTACATGTTACACTATTTTATATAAATAAAAATAGCTGTCTCAATAGCTGGATAACTTGCAATTAGAGTTGTTTTGCCATGTAGTATTTGTATTAATTTAATTATATCCATTCTTGGCTTTTTAGGGAATACCTGTATATATTTGCCAAATAGATGTCCATGGTTAGGTCAAAAGTCTATTAGGACATAAAAATAATTGATCATGCTAAGCTCAGCATATAATTTGCACTTAATTATGAAGTATGTTTGGGTCAGAAGTTTAGAAGAGCAACAATAGTAGAGTATGCATTTGTGAAAAAACTTTTCCTAATGTTTTATGATTTGCTTTGCCAGGTCCCTGTTCTTTAATATCCATTATATATTATTTTGATGCATGTAATAAAAACATGGCAAGTCAAAGCTTTTTTCCAGATTTCACAGAAAAATTGGGATCATCTCATTATCATAGACATTTCCCAAATTTAAGTGTACTAAGTCATCATAGATAGATACATAGATACTAAGTTATCATAGATTCGTTTTTATTATTAGCTTGATTTAATTTTATATCTTTATCATAATATACTAAGGAGTGCTGGTGGTGTGGTAAGGCATTTGGCTACTAACCAGAAGGTCAGCAGTTCAAACCTACCAGCTGCTCCATGGAAGGAAGATGAGGCAAACTACTTCCATAAAGACTAACAGCCTTCGAAACCCAACTGAGGTCACTCTGAGTTGAAATTGAGTTGAATTCGACTCACTGGTAGTGGGTTTGGTTTGGTATATCATAATTTATTAGATTTTATAATTAGGCTAAAATACTAAGTTATATAAATGGTGGAGGATTGAGATGAATAGTCTTCATTGGATTGAAAATAGGTATTTTTAAAAATTAGCTAATCTAAAAAGAAAAGAAAAAGTTGATTGAGTCATTTCCTACTCATGTCAACCCCTTGTGTGTCAGAGTAGGATTTTCAATGGCTGATTTTCCAGAAATAGATCAATTACCAGACCTTTCTTTTGGTAATTGTCTGCATAGATACAAACTTTCAGACTTCTGGTTAGCAGCCACCACGGTAACCATTTGTATCACCCAGAGACTCCTCAGCTATTTTACAACCCCCCTCTTTTATTTTCCAAAAGAAATCGGGTGTAGAATCCTGATAGATAAAATAAGAAGAAACAATCTGCTTGGCTTGAAATGGAAAGTGGAGTTTTTAACCTTCTCAGTTCTCAAACTCACCCCTCATACCCATTGTGGGCCTTAAATCACTTCTGTGGAATCATAATTTTAACATCAGTGCTTTGGTTAAGTTTAAGTTTAATCTATTTTGTTTAAGTCCTTTTAACAAACAGGTATTAACTTACATTTTTACCTTAGTTCCTTTAACTCACACTAGGAAAGAGAAGCAATTGTGTAGAAATGTATTGATTCTAACTTAGAAGGAGACCATTAATGACAGTCATGTTCTGTCCTGGCTCAAAGAACCATCCCACTGGCATTCCAGTGCTGAAAGAAATGCAGGAAAATATTTCTTGAGTAGTATTGTAAATGGGAAAATGTCATCATCAAAAGATCTAAAATTAGATACTACATTAGGCTATGAGAAAAAGGGCTTCTGTCATTTCAGATGTTTCCATATGGTACCAGATCTTTTTTTCATTTTTATAGTTTTCCTTTTCTGTCCTTCTCCATAGTTCCCATTTTACTTACTTCAGTCTTATATATTCTTCCCCTTTGTAAAGTTGCCAGTACCTAAAATACTGTATGTAATTTGTTATTGTTGTTAAGTGCTGTTGAGTCAGCTCCGATTCAAAGTGACCGTATGTACAACCAGATGAAAGACTGCCGGTCATAGGCCATCCTGAGAATCCTTACTGTACTTGAGTCCATCATTGCAGCCACTGTGTCTATCCTGTTGAGGGTCTTCCCCGTTTTTGTTGACCCTCTATTTTACCAAGAATGATATCCTCCAGGGATTAGTCCCTTCTGACCACATGACCAAAATGGGTGAGATGAAGTCTGGCCATTCTCTCTTCCAAGGAACATTCTGGTTGCAGTTCTTCCTGGACAGATTTCTTCATTCTTCTCACAGTTCATGGTATTTTCAGTATTTTTCACCAACACAAGGCATCAACTCTTCTTTGGTCTTCTTTATTCATTGTCCAGCTTTCACATGCATGTGAAAACCAAACCAAACTTACGTTGAGTCGATTCCGACTCATAGTGACCCCTCTTTGGGTTTCCCAGATGGTTATCTCTGTGGCATATGAGGCTATTGAAAATAATAATATGGCTTGGGTAAGGCACACCTTAGTCTTCAAAGTGATAACTTTGTTTCCTAACACTTTAAAGAGGTCTTTTGCAGTAGATTTGCCCAGTGCAATACGACGTCTGATTTCTTGGCTGCTGCTTCCATGAGTGTTGACTGTGGATCCAAGTAAAATGAAATCCCTGACAACTTCAGTCTTTTCTCTATTTATCATGATACTGCTTATTGGTTCAGTATGTATGTAGTTTGTTGTTGTTGTTGTTGTTATGTGCCGTCGAGTCGGCCCCGACTCATAGCGACCCCTCCTTGGGTTTCCGAGGCAGTATCACTACGGAAGTAGGATTGCCCAACCTTCCTTAGGGAGGTGATAATCATACAATAGTAGATTCTAAGAAAGGAAACCTAAAACGGTAAAGAAAAAAATGTCCCATGATAATTCTTTAAAAGTGGACATTCTGCTGATCTTTACCAAGAAGATTATTTGTGTTTATCCACATAGTTAGAATTTCTGGTGCTCTTTATTCCTTTGTGTAGACCCAGGTTTCCATCGATGTCATTTTCCTTCTGCTTAAAGGACTTCTTCTAACATTTCTTATAGTGCAGATCTATTGCTGATCTTTCAGCTTTTGTTTGTCTAGGAAAAATAATATCTGTATTTTATTTTTGAAAAATATTTTCCCAAAGAATTCTATGTTGACAGTTTTTCTCAGTACTTTGAAGATTTTGCTCTGCTGTCATCTAGCTTATGGGAGCTCTGGTAGCATAGTGCCTAAGGCACTTGACTGCTAACCAGAAGGCTGGCGCTTCAAACCCACCAGCCACTCCTTGGAAGGAAGGTTGGGCAATCTACTTCTGTAGTGATACTGCCTCGGAAACCCAAGGAGGGGTCGCTATGAGTCGGGTCCGACTTGATGGCACATAACAACAGCAACAACAGCAACAACAACAACAACATCATCTAGCTTGCATTATTTCTCATGAGAAATCTACTGTCATTCTTATCTTTGTTCCTCTGTATGTAGTGCATATGTATGTGTGCTTTCCCTACTACCTTCTCTTAGAATTTTTCTTTTTATCTCTGGTTTAAAACAGTTTGATTATAATGTGCTTTGACAGTTTTCTCCATGTTTCTTATACTTCAGGTTTGTTGAGCCCCTTGGAGCTGTAGGCTTATACTTTTGATCAAGTTTGGAAATACTTTAGCCATTATTTCTTCAGATATTTTTTCTACCTCTCCCTGCTTTTGGGAATTCCAATTACATATATATTTAGTTTCTCGAAGTTGTCTCACAACTCATTGGTCTCTGTTTTTCTTTTTCATTTTTTTTTTCTGTTTCATTTTGTAGTGCCTATGGTTTTGTCTTTAAGTTCACTGATTTTATCTTCTATAATATCTCATGTGCTGTTAATCCCATTCAGTG